GCTTCCTTCATCATCTCTTTGGTACTTTCAGCACAGATCTCTGCAGGATATGGAGAACAACCTCTTTCCTAAGGCCTTGGAACAAAAGAACTGAGTTGCATTTTGCTGCTCTAGCTTCCATGTTTGTTTGTGTTTTTTTTCCATTGTGGAGTTATAGAATCATTTAGGTTGGAAAAGACCTTTAGGATCATAAAATCCAACCGCTAATGTAACACTGCGGAGTCCACCATTAAACCGTTTCCGTTAGTACCACATCTACACGTATTTTAAATACATCCAAGGATGGTGACTCCACCACTCCCCTTCACAGCCTGTTCCAGTGCTTGACAGCCCTTTCCATGAGGAAATCTTTCTTAATACCCAGTCTAAACCTGCCAACCTGTCTCTTGTTACTTGGGAGAAGAGACTGACACCCACCTCATTACAACCTCCTTTTGAACAGTTGTAGAGAATGATAAGGTCTCCTTTCAGTCTCCTTTTTTCCAGGGTAAATTACCCCAGTTCCTTCAGCCATGCTCATAACTTAAGCTCCAGACCCTTCACCAGCATCGTTGTCTGTCTTTGGACATGCTCCAGCATCTCAGTGTCTGTCTTGTCATGACAGGCCCAAAGCTGAACACAGTATTTGAGGTGTGGCCTCACCAGTGCTGAGTACAGGGGGACAATCGCTGACCTGGCCCTGCTGGCCACACGGTTTCTTATACAAGGCATGATGCTGTTGGCCTTCTTGGCCACGTGGGCTACTGCTGGCTCGTGTTCAGCTGACTGTTGACCAACACCCACAGGTAGTTTTCTGCCAGATGCTTCCCAGCCACTCTTCCTGAAGCCTGTAGCGTTGCATGTGGTTTTTACCCAAGTGCAGGGGCCATTGCTGAGTCTTTCTGTGAACCTCATACAATTGGCCTCAGCCCATCGATATCCAGCCTGTCTGGATCCCTCTGTAGAGCCTTTCTACCCTCCAGCAGATCAACACTCCTGCCCAACTTGGTGGCTTACTTGCAAACTTACTGAATGTGCACGCAATCCCCTCATCTAGATCACCGATAGAATTGTTAAACAGAAATGGCCCTGGGGAACACCACTTGTAACCAGCCACTAACTGCGTCTACCTCCATTCACCATTGACTCTTTGGGCCTGGGCATCCAGTCCATGTTTGACCCAACAAAAAGTAAATTCCATTGACTCAACCTTGGCATTCCCTCACCTTTTCATGTCTTTAGTTTTATGGCCCAGTAGTGTTCATCTTGATAGGTTAAAACACTTGTGGATAAAACCTGTGCGATGTAATAAGCTGTTTCCATAACCTGTGTGTGTCTCCTAAGTGTTCAATGAAGATTTTTCTTTTTCCCCCTGGAAGCATTGTCAATCTAAAGCAATGCATGTGCCCTTTCATTGTTTCCCTTGTAAAGTTCTTCAGCTTTTTTTCTATCAAAGTGCTTGTTCTCACATCAGCTAAGCACTAAGAAATGTCAGTGCTTGATTAAAAATTAACATGAAAATAAATTTATATTTAAGAAAACAACTCTTGATTTATGTGGAAGAATATGGACCTCTGAATTGTTTTAAAACTCTTTTCAGGAGTATGTCATCAAATTAGTGCTTTTAACTTTCTGAAATATTCAGCAAGCCAAAATCTGTTAGTCACATTAAGCCTTGCAAGGTGCCACTAGATGGTGTCAGCATCTAGTTCTCTTTTTCCTTACTCAAGCACTAAAATGCTGAAACTGCACCATGTTTGCATCACTTTGAAAGGCCTCTTAATTTTTCAAGTATAAAGTAGGTTTGTTAAGACAGATCATAAAAGTTATTCTTTGACTGTGTGATTTGTGATTAGATGTGCTAAAAATGACAGGTAGGTGGATGTCGTTTAGACATTTTGCTCCCATTTTCACCTTGTTTGTTAGGTTACAGTTTTAGTCTGGATACGAAGAGAGATTGTCTGTTGTATTGCTGATACAATTATGTATTTTATAAAGTTCTACCGTTTATGAAATTAAGTGTATAAAAAAACCTCCACACCATTAAGTAACAAGATAACACCTGGAAACCCCATACCTGGTAATTACATAAAATCTAATTTGTGTTCTCTGTGTGAAATCAAGGAGGCTTACACAGAGGTGAATAAGAAACCCCTGTCATCTCTGTCCTGATAATGAGATGTCCCTTGACCCTTAGTCATAGTAAAAGGAGAAGGCAAATTTTTAGATGACAAATAATAAAGGCTGACAGTGTTAAAGTCGGTAGTTCTGGGTGGCTGTAGAAACCTGCAAGAGGAAAGCAGTATACTGTAACTGTATGAACTTGGCGAGGGTCTTCTCTGTATAGGAGGCAGAGGCTTAAAGGCGGAGTCCAAAGTGAGCCTGAGTTGATGAGGTTTCTTACTGTCCAGTAATTTCAGTTGTTTGGGTGGAAAGATGGTGTTTTTCTTCCCAGAGTGGTGGCAGGTAAAAATCCTTCTACTCTGTTCAAGTAGTGTAGCTGATGATGATTGATCTGAAAAGCTACAATGTAGCTTTGGGGCATATGTACCACCCCCTTTTCTATTTAGAATACGGTGGTAAATGCTGTATCTGCCCCTCGGTTTTAAGGTTTTCAGCAGTCTGATCCTAAGGATTCTCTGTTAGGCAAATAATGTAAATTGCCTGGGTTTGGAGAGAGATGTTAATAGGAAGAGTGTGAATTGATACAGTAAGTAATGAAATAGTGGGTAGAAGGATGGAGATAGGTAACTATGAGCACCTTTTTAAGGAATTCTAGAGTCACTTGTACAATATTGGTTTAGATGTCTGAATGTGCTCTCTCACCTTTGTGCTTTTAAGTGAGTGTTCTGTGGTTGTCTAGGTCATTTTACAAATACCGTTGACAGTGAAGCAAGAAACATTGTCCTGTTGTTGGTACTCAGTCCTATTCTGGGCATGTCCAGGCATGCATTTTCTAGATGAGCTGGAGTGTTTTGCATGCTGAAAAAAAAAAAGTTTCTATGTATTTGGCCTGCAGCAGTTCCGTATCTTTAAGAATTTCAGTGGCAGACTTTGAGATTGGAAAAGCTCAGTAATAAGCTCCTTATCAAAAGGTTGTCTCAGAATTCTGGTGTGAGTAGGAGTGATTTGAAAGCACCCATTTCATTAAAAAAGGACATGTTAACTGAAATGGAATAGTTGTGTCTGTAAAAATGAGAGTTGAACCTATGTTAAAAGAGGGGCAGTAGTTCATAGAATTTCTTTATTTATTTATTTATTTATTGACAAAAATTGCCTCACCTTGGGATGACCAATCTTGGATGAAAAGTAAAGGTGTAAATGATACTGCAGCCTTCAGTGTTGCTGGGGTTTTCTGGTGGTTTTGGTTTGTTTTGGTGCTTTTTTAATTATGCCTTTCTGTCAAGAAGTCATTGATAGCTGGGAGAATGTGAATCTAGAAGGAGCATTTGGGGTAGGAGGTTTTGTGTTATTGTGAGTATCCTTTATAACACAGTTACAGAATGTGACCGAAATATGCTTAGTCATAACATTCTTAAATTTACACTGTCAGACTGCAGTCATCCTTCAGATTGTACCAAATGTGGTGGGGGGGATGGGGGAGGAATTGTGTCCTGAAAGGCTTAGCCCAATGGATTTTCAGGTGATCTTATTCAACTTAAGTTGCATACATTTCATTTACGCATACTGCATGTTGATAGCATATGGATGATGAGTATTCTGGGTTGGTGGTTTTTTTTTTTTTTTTGTGTTCTGTTTTTTTTCCTCCTCTGGGCATGTAAATAAATCCCAGTTTAGAGCATCAAAATTAGAGGTTGGCTTCACAAGCAGTTCCAGTGGTGATGGGCACCTTATGGGCATGATTTGGCATTTGTCAGGCATTAAAAAATACAAGGTTGTGAGGCTTCATCTGTCGTTGCACTCATCTGTCTGTTCTTCAGAAGAGAAAGCTCTGTGTGCCTTGTCATTAAGAGTATGTTGTTCTTATTTTGCTTATACGTAAGGACTTTTCTTAGGTTACAGAAACGAATATGCAAGATAGGCATTAGAAGGGTGATAAAATTTGGGGACATTGTTTACCCGTGGCACTTACAGGAAATGAACCTGCACATAAAGTACATATTGTTCTTGCTGTCTTAATCTGTTTAGAGCTTGTATTTTTTCAAAGCAGAGTTCTCCTTCTTTTGTTGTTTGGAACATACATACTGTATAGAAACCATTCTCACATAAATTTAAAATGCAGATACTTTAAAAAATCAAAATCTTGGTGTTACCACAGTGAATTTTTACTTAAACTCTTAATTTTTTGGATGGTGCCTACTGCAGTGTTCTTACAAGAATGTTGTTCTTACTGTAACATTTGTGTTACAGTCTGATGTGGCCTGTAAACATAAGGGCAAGGTGAATCAACCAGAATTTTTAGTGGGAAAGAGCAGTGCAGGAATGATGATTTGAGAAATATTTTGCCAGGTAGAGCTACTGTTCTACCAAACAGAGCTGCTTTTAGTGCTGTTTTCCAGGTTAGTTTTGGTCTTGGATGTTGAATAAAATATAAACTTTTTTCTGCCTGCTTTTGTTTCTCTAGTTACTGAATGAAAGGGCATGTGAAATTGATTTCTTTTTGTATGTCCCTCTGCACCAGTTCTTTAGAAATTACAGGACACCAGGGAGCATGGTAAATGAGCTACATGATTAAATTTTTAAATCTTACAGCAGCTTTGTCCAGCATGAAAATCCCAAAATTTAAAATGATTTCTTTATTAGAGGTTTTCTGTAAAATATTGCTTGATTTACATTCATAAGATTAATAATAAATATACTTTTGGGTTGACATTTCATAAAACAAAATTACAATATCAAGGAATGCATTACCCACAACAGTGTACTTATTGTGGCAGTGTTACTTTTATTAAACCATTTATCATTTTAATGTTGTGTATTCTGACTCCTAAGGTTTTCTGTCTTTCTCTTCAAAGAAAATGTAACCAAACGAATTCAACATTCATTTTTCTCTCCTACAGCATTATCTGCATACCAGAGGTACTACAGTTTACAATCTGACTACTGGAAGGTCTGTATATGCTGACTTTGTTTGTTTGTTTGTTTGTTTGTTTGTTTTAATTAATGTTACTGTAAATTACCACATTTTAAAAAAAGGTGAATTTCAATATAAGTTTGAAGTATTTACCTACAATTAATTTTTTGGCATATTAATTGAGTGTTAATGGCAACGTTCACCTATATGTACAATTCGTTACAAATCCGGAAATAAATATTCGTGCCACTTGCTGAAATGGCAGATCAATTGACTTGATACAGTTTAGGTTTTTCTGAATTATTATCCATTCAGGTTTTCTTATGTAAGCATAGATATGTGGGTATGTATTAGTATTGAGAGAATCATAGACACCTGAAAGCTTCTGCACAGGCGATGGACTTGTACTGGGAAAAATCTTCTCAGGTTGCTTTTTATTTCTGCAGATGCCAGATTTTTTGAAGTACCTTTCAGTATTTTGGATAGTGCTTTAAGTAAGACAGGGAAAAAAATCTTGCATAGTAGAACTGCCTTGTATGTAGGTCTGTGTAGAGGTGCCAGGACTTCAGATTAGTAAAATGAAGACATTTCTCACAGTGACATTATCAAAAATAGTTAGCATTATTATATTGTAGTAGGAAATAATTTGAAGCTCATGACTGAGACAGAGGTGCAGGAAAGCATATAGCACAATGGGTAATTGTATGATCTTACATGGTTGTTTTCCTTAAAAGTGTGTATAAGTGCATAATTTGAATAGGGAGGACTAATTCTGGAAAGACATCAATACTAGATATATGCAAGCAGTAGAGCAGCAGCATGTTCTGTGTTCATTGCATTTTATAGGGACTCTTAAATACATTCTGAAAAATCCTGTGGCAGTTTCTTCCATCTGGGTCGTGGAAAGGCAGAAAGGGTAAATAAAGCATAAAAGAGTGAACCAAAATAAGTGAATTCTGGCATACGGAAGGAGAGGTCAAATTGGAAGATGCCGGGGAAGTTTTGTATTGTCTTGCAAAGCCCTGGCTCCAGTAGAAGTTGTATGATGCCACTTTTGCACCAGGCCATTTTGGAGTTGAAGTAGTTGGTTTTTTTTTTAGAAATAACCCCTGTAGTACAACAATGAAGGCATTCATATATCCTGACTTCTTATGTACTCTCGGGGACTTAATTTAAAGATTGCTGTAAATGAGTGTTGAAATCAATCGACTAATTAAACATTAATTATAATAGTTTCTGATGGTTGTACTCTTCTTATGTTAAGCATTTCAGAATAGATTGTGACTTGAATTATTTTGTCTGTCTTTTGTTCTAATGACTCATTATTAGGAGAAGTGGTAAGTGGGGCCTGAAATGGTACTGGCGAGGGACTTTTCATCAGGGACTGTAGTGATAGGACAAGGGGTAACGGGTTCAAACTTAAACAGGGGAAGTTGAGATTGGATATAAGGGGCAAGTTCTATACTGTGAGGGTGGTGAGGCACTGGAATGGGTTGCCCAAGGAAGTTGTGAATGCTCCATCCCTGGTGGTGTTCAAGGCCAGGTTGGAGAGAGCCTTGGGTGGCATGGTTTAGTGTGAGGTGTCCCTGCCCATGGCAGGGGGGTTGTAAGCAGATGATCTTAAGGTCCTTTCCAACCCTAACTATTCTATGATTACTAAATTAATTTCTCTGCATTTTCAGAACTCATGGTGAAGTGTCGATCATTATTTCCATAGGCATAGAGTGTTTTGGTATGGCTCAGAGTATTATCTGCAGTTAAAATAAATGCTAACTGGTTGTTTTGCAGTTCTATCTCAAGAGCATGGGTGGCAGTACAATGCGTGTCTATGCTTGACTTACTGGAAGCAAGTTCTGTTTGTACGCAGTGTGCTGATATTCTAACATAGCTGTTTCTTGTGTGTATCTCAAGAGTTCTATCATGCAGAGATTATTTCAAACAGTTGTTTGCAGCTGACAAAAGAGCATTTTGATGTCCAAAAAGAAAAAAAGGAGGGGAGGGGGAAGCCACCAACACCTCCCATTCCCCACCCCTCCAAACTCAAAACCCTGGTAATTTTTCTTAAGGTTGGCCTTACCTGGAGAGGATACTATGCTACTTGTTCTCATTATAAGCTTCCTTATAAATATGTAGTATAAAGTGTTTTGGGGTTTTTTTCCATAATAATTTTGGGGATTATCTTCATTTTTACACGCATAAAGAAGAGCCTGAAAGAGCCCCAAAATATGTTTTCAGTTAAAACCTTTTTTGCTGAACCCAGTACAAATAACATGTGAACCATATTTCATCTTATTAATGACGAAGCCTGGAGTGGCATGGTTTAGTGTGAGGCGTCCCTGCCCGTGGCAGGAGGGTTGGAACTAGATCATAGATGATCTTAAGGTCTTTTCCAACCCTAACTATTCTATGATTCTGTGATGAAGCTAGTCTGGAATTGGCAGTGGAAGCTTCGGTCTAGAGAAAAGTCTTCCTCTCCGTACCCCAACTGAGAGGATTTCTTGTTTCTTGTTATCTTTACAGCTTTGTGTCTCTAAAAATCCATCTAGTAAAGAATAAGCTTGTGGTATATTACCGGTTACCCTTATATGTTGTTTTGTTATTGTTTGCAATTAACTTTTTTTCAAAGAGCTACACTTGACTAAAAGAAAAAAAAGCAGTCACATTTCCTAGTTCTAGCTCTTACAGGGTTAGGTATCATCAATGAAGTTGGAATTTGTGATGGTAAAGAACGGGAGAGAAGTGAGTGAAGAAAGGGTAATATTTATGAGCTGTGAGGAGAGCTGTGTGAGAGAACTGAGAGGTTGATGGAGACTGCTGAATCACATGAAGGTTATTATATAAGGAAGGTTTGAAACCAGAGACGAACAGTCTTAGGCAGCATATCTGAAATTACTTACTGTGGTGCAGTGCAAATTTACATGCTTAAAATAAGTGTCCTGTGTGTTCTTTGATTTATAAATAAAAAACTTCTAGAAGGATTGCATGATATTTAAGTTGCTTTGGCTATAGTTTGCCTCCTTATGTAGTCTTTATAGTCTCTGATACTTGGGTTTTTGCTGTTGCATGGGGTTAGTAATTGAGCATTATTTTCATCCATTATTCATTGTATTTATTCTATAGTTCATGTCTTCTCCTTTCACAAAGAAAAGCATTCTACTTGCTTTTTTAATAGAATTTTCTGATGGTTTGAATTTTTCAGAATTTTTCAGGATTTGGTGCATGGGTTGTTTTTTGGTTTTGTTGCATTTTGTTGATCTTATGGAACAAAAAGAAAAAAGACTTCAGAAAATATATTCTGGGTGTAAGTTATAGTGATGGAAGTAAGTGTGAAAGGTTAGGAAGATGCTGTATTCTGTCATCTACCACATCAATACTTCCCTTCACTCTGAGACATTACTTCCTTTCAAAGAAGTAATACCTGTACAGATAGTTTTGAAAGATCTGGCTTGCATTATGTCACATGTTCCTAAATAGAACATTTTTTGCAGTAATGTCTTTGGGCACTCACAGATCCACATAAAAATGTCCTGTAAAATTATATAGTTTTTATTCTGCACAGGCACTGTGGTACCTTAGGTCTGTGTTTAAAAAAAAAATATTTGACTTGAGATCTTACAAAGTAAATACATTAACTTGGATAAAAGCTGAGATAACTTAATAGAGTTCTTGCATTCAAGTAGTTTTCTCAATGCTGCTGCTTCGTATGTGCCTATGCTAAAATAAATCTCCCTTCTGTGCAATGTACTTCATTCTGATTTCTTTTTAAAACTCCCGTGTCAACATGTTGGGGGAGGTGAGGAGGACTGTGGGGGATGAATGGATGGGAAGGGCAGTTCAGGAGAGGGAGACAGCTAGAACTGCAGTTTGTAGATTTTGATGCTACTGAGAAAATAAAGACATCAAGTGTAAGTGTCTGCCATGGTTATCAGTTTTGACATGTTCTGAGGAGGCAGGATTAAAAGCTCAGCAAGGAGTAAGATATTTTTGATTTTATCCAAACTTGATGGCAGATATCTGGCACCTGGAAAAAAAATATTTTAATCATTTCATGTGGTTGTATTCTAGTGCAGTTGATTGTACTGAACTCTTTTATATAACGTCTGGGTTTGGCTAGGGCTGTTACAACAGAAATTTCAGTACATGAGTGAATTGAGTGTAAGTGTTAAAACATCTAGATCTGTTACACTGACCTGGTTGCCCAGGGCAGGGGAGACCTAGAAGCCTTCCTCCATGGATATAGGGCTACAAGAGGTTTCAGTGCTCGCTAGAGTGGTTCTTAAGATGGTTGTCTGGTACTTTGATTAGATCTCTGCTTTGGTGTAACACTGCTACTGCAGCCCTTACGTGGTTTGATAGTTTTGATTATATAGTATATATTTGGCCTGTTGCCGGTAGGTGAGTGTTCACATATTGACAGTTAGAAATTGTGAACCTGTAGTTTTTGCAACTCAGAATTTGAATAAATAGAATTTTTTGGTATGGGCATGTTAAGGAGAAGGGAGGTCCCATATGCTGATTCTCTGCAGTGTTTCCATGTCACCCGTATTGAAATCTCTGTGGTGGTGGAATGAAAAGGTAGCTTTCTAGACAGGATTTTAGTAAAATCCAGGGGACTGTGGACTAGTTTTAAGGAGCATGAGGACAGTACTGCCATTGTACCTTAATTTGGAGTGTGTTAATTCATCACTGTATCCTGTCTGTCTTCAAGGATTTCTGTAAAAAGCTGTTTTTCATCCGAGTAACAGAGGGTGCACAAATACTTTAATATTTCTATCTATATGTGAATAAGCTGGAGGATTGCCAGGGCACAGTGTTTAGAGATGCATTTTAAGTGAAGCTTATAATGTTGGAAGCTACTGTGCAAATTAGTTACTCCCGTATCAAGGAAGACTACTGCGAACTAGGATGCTAGAACTTAGACTGAGGATGCCTTAAACAGAAAAGAAACTATCACTTCATGGCGAAATGTTTGGAATGGATCAGTCAGAAAACATGAATGCTCCTTGGAATGTTTGAAGAACATTTATTAGTGAGTT